TCACACCTCTGTTTTGTCTCTGTTTTAAGGCTAAAAAAACTGCACAAAGTTTCAGCCACACTACAAGACACAAGAAAACCTAATAGGAAAATGTTTATGAACTTTTCTTGACAAAACTTTTATTAAGACATAATAGAAACCTAACTCTAGGAAATTTGCTAGAACTAATAGAAAATTAGGAACTCAATCATGTAAAGTAAAAGCACATATAGGAAGGTTCAGATTTAATAAGAAAATACACAAAAATTTCGGACACAAAAAACACTAAACAAAATTAGGTCAACAAGCTAGTCTAGGAAGTTTCAACATACAAAGGACTACACATGACTTTCTAAGACAAAACAATTGATTCAAAAGGAAAAACGATACTCAATGCATGTTGTCCAATCACGGACACATGTGAATGAATGGAGAAGACTCAAACAAAAATCAAAAGCACAAGCACATGAACCTAGGCGCACAACAACAATTGATTCAAGAAGAATAGGAACAAGCAAACATGAATCAATCACTTCATATTAGACATATAGGATCCATCAAAAATCATATTAGAACAAGATCCTTGCAGTAAACACAAATTTAGACATAGACAAGGAAGATACAACACGGATTTCAAGTAGAAAAGTTAGAAACAAAAACCTCAAGAGCACTAGGCTCTAGATACCAAAAATGATGGAGTTGAGTTGAAGAAGATTGATGAACTTCAACACCTCCATGCTTAGGACCGAAATGCTTTGAGGTTGACTCCAAGAGAAGCTCGAAATTCTCCTTGAAGAAGCCTTCAATGGAGGAGAAGCCTTGAATGGAGGTTCGGTTACTTCAAGCTTGAAGTAGAAGCTTGATGAACCAAGACAAAGTTTGAATAAACTTTGAGAGAAACCTTAGAGAGAGAGTTCTCCACGGTTTTAGGGACTCTTGAGTGAGAGAGAAATCTGATTTCTATTCTCATAAATCTTCAAAAGTGAGTACAAGTGTAGAGAAAACAAATATATAGGGAGAGGTAGCTTGTAGGAGAAGCTATCCTTAACCATGGTTCATTAGGAACCATGGTAGGGTTAACTTAAACTCCCACGGTTTAG